CACCTGCTACATAGACAGAGGACAGGGGGAAATGCCCCTAACCAAAAGAACGGCTCCTCTACGGGTTCTCCGGCCACGAGCTGAGGGGAAAGGAGGAGGTCATGAACCGGGACCATGCGGGGCCTGGCTCATCCTTGGGGATTGTGTCAGACAAGCCTGTGGGGAGAGAGGACGGGGACGGCAAGGATTGAGCTAAGGCTGTCAGGGCCTCAGGCGCCAGGGGGCGGTGCAGGAGGGCGGGGCTGCAGACTGGCCTGCGGTCGGGGAACCCGCCTGGTCCCCGGCAACTGAATAAACTCTCTTCACGGCCGGCTGCTTGAGAAGCTTTCCCTTTTTCTTTTCTTTTTCTTTGTAAATGGAAATGGATTTAGCTGTGGGATGCATTCTACTGGGGCTGGCCCTGTAGGAGGCAGATGGAAACCTGTGGACCCTGGGGCTGCAGACGGCCACCCCACTGGGAGGGCGGCTCGCTCCAGGGGCGGGCGGAGGGGAGCCAGGAGGGAGGAGCGCAGACTCCGCTGGGGACGCGGCGCGCACAGCACAGCGAGGCAGGGCGGCGTCAGCCCCCCCGGGTCTAGGGAAGAGTCACCCTCACTAGCTTTTTCAAAAGCAAGTGAAACCCCATAAATCACACCTGAGGAGGAAGTGTAACAGGACAGCAGGGAGAGGCAGGCGACACCTAAATACCTGGAGACACATGAAGGGAAAGAGGCGGCACAGCGCTGCCACCCCCCCGCCCCCCACCCCCGTGCAGGCGCTGGAGGCCAGCACGTGGCCCTGAGCGGGGCACACTCGGGGCGCGGGGACAGCGCGGAGGCGAAGGTGGGAAGTGGGAGGGCGTGGGGCTGAACTTTAAGATCGGTCAAAAAGGCGCATTATCGCTGTAGCAATACAATCAATACGAGGCTGTGCTAAATAGTTCAAGGAGAGAAAAGGCACAAAGATGAAGATACATAAAAGCATCTCTCTCTCTCTCTCTCAAATCTATGTTCTGTGACAGAATAAAGTAACTGAAAACGTGTAACTACAATTAACCAACACACCAACTCCGCAGACCCCGTAATTAACCGTGGTGGGGAGAGAACGGAGCCGCGTGTAATAAAACACTCGCTCGCTACCACACATGTCAGTCCGTTTCGGTCTCAATCAGAACCAAGCGTCCCTGTACGTTAAGTCTGCACATCTTCAACCCAAACACCTTTATTATCAAACCTTCCCGCTCCCTTTTTAAGGTTTCTGATCAATCTTAAAATTAGGTTTAATGATCGAGGTAATAACAAAGCACAAAAAGGCCTAGAAACCTAAACTACTTATTATGGTCTGTAGACACAGGCTGTAACCTGGTTTTCTTCATAATTATGGCAGCGGTCTCGAGTGCACGCCGCTTTTATGACTTCACTTCCCAGAGCCCAAATTAAAGAGGCCACCGCGCCGGGCTCTGCGTGGGGGGCTGTCCCTTGGCCGGGGTGCTGGGAGGGCAGAGGGCGCGGCGGCTGCAGGGCCCGGCGCTGCACAAACGCCATCGTGCTTGCGTCGCTGCGTGCTCACACCGCCACGGCCACCGGGGTGCATGCCCAGTGCTCTGAGAGTATTTGATATTGTGACGGGGACATGCCTGACTCCTCTGCTTTATTAAGAAAAATTATAATTATACAGTCATAAAATTCCTAGGCCTACTTTCTACTTTACACTGAACAAGATGCAACTTCTGCACTCTTAGGTGAACTGTCAACATAAAGAATGCCTCATTTACATAATGTTACTAACCGGCGTTATCCCAATAAATTTAATAGAAAAAAAGAATAGCTCCAAAGTAACATCTTTTAAAAATATAGTTCCAATTAAATGGGAAAAACTTAATGGAACAAGTCATTATATGTGCGGTCATTTTAAAGAATGTCAACACCTTCTCTAATATGTTAGCCAAAATCCCAGAAAACTTTTTTAAAAAGCTACCTACTTAAGTGTTTTATTATGGTGTACACTGGTTGATATTCCATTAGCACTTGAACGCTTGTGAGAGCCAACAGAAAATGTCATTGTGTTCGGCTCCAAGGGTAGCAGGCCTGCTGTGCTTAATATTCAGTGGGTGCGCTCAAGTTACCCACTTCAATTAATTTTTTAAAAATTGCTCCTTCTTCCAATAACTGGATTAAATTATTAGAGAAGCGCATGCCCGCTACATCTTCAGGAAGCTCAGGCTCTGATGGCATCGGTGAGCAAACCTCCGCTGAGTTCCACAGGCGCACAGCGCTGGGGTCCGTCTGCCGACCAACTGCGCCCGCTGCTCTGACACCCCACTCCCCCGGGGAGTGCTCCTCCGCTTCAGGGACACACGCGTTTCCTCCATAAAAAACAGCTCAGCCAGGGTCCTGCCAGGCCCCGGGCACCCTGCCGCCTCCTCACGCGGTGCAGGGGGCACGGAGCCAGCGTTCCATCGGCGGCTCTCGGGGGCTCTCACAGCTCAGTGTTAGAACTTCAAGAGGCGACCTGCCTGCCCCTGGGGTCTAGAGCACCCTGCCAATCACCACCCTTCGGCTGAGCTCGAAAACTCCTGAAAGTCTCATCCAGTCTGACTCGTGAGTTTTTCTGCATGTGTCCTCCTTCCTAGAAGCATAATTTCCCCAGGCAGTTAAATTAGTCACACGTCACCGTTTTAATAAGATTACCAAGGAAAACATATCATTGCGATCCCACTAAAAATGCATACTCGTGTTCTCAGCAAAGATAACGAATCAGCCACCTATTAATAATTCAGTCAGACATTCGATCCGCGGATTTGCATCCACTCGTCTCCCCATCCCTCCTGCAGCCCTCGGGAAGGGCCCCCTCCGGTAGAGCTGATTTTATGACGTGGCATCGCCTTCCGTCACCGTCCCCGACTAGCCATTTCCTACACAAAGACGCGTCAAGGCCACGACGTCAGTCGGGAAGTGGATCGCCGGCCACGCGCCTGCTTGGCGGAGCGTCGCGGGCGCAGCCGAGAGAAACCACGGTCACAGCCCTGGAGGGCAGGGCCGCCTCAGCCCCCTTCCCGGGCAGCGGGAGAGCGTGCCAGACAGGAGGGACCCTCGTTGCCCTGAGGAGCCACCAGCAGCCCCACTGCCACCAAGCAGGCGCCTGAGCCAGAAACCTCACTCCCTGTCTCTCCTGGTAGCAAGCAATACACCCACGTGACAGAAAAGATTTCAAGAGCCCAGGGCCAGCTCTCTTGCCAGATTTTAACTCACAAGTCCCTATTATCAAGCACGCAATTCTTGTCGAGAAAACAGAAGCCCATGGATTTTTCTTGATGGCTCTTCCTGAAGGTACTGACACAAATAACCATCGATGAACTTATTAGGAATAATAGAAATTAAAAGCCATGGGGCTCTGTTTCCTGGGCAAAGACGTTCAGCGAAGCAGATCAGATGCTCGGGACGTGCACGTGGGGCAAGAACCAGAGGCGCCCACAGTGACAATTTCACGTTTTATCCTCTTCACAGTGAACGCCCTCTGCCTGGAAGGCCCCGAGGACCACACCCTGGGGGGAGCCCCGGGCTGGCAAGGGCCCTTCTTGGGGTTCACCATCTCACTTCCATACTCAGGACGTACCAACTGACTTCACAAACACTCTCATCTCAGTGCTGCTGGCCTCTTAAAAGTTCCCTCCACCTTTACGGCTGAGGTGAGAGTGACAAAGTGATTCGGTTTCCCGAGGGAGCACAGCGCCGGAGGTTATTCTGCCTCTCACGGGCTCCCCTGCACGTTGGGATGCCCACACCTAGTTTCCTCTGGGCGGGGGGTGTTTGTTCGCAGGGAGTTACATAACCACCACTAAGTACAATGCGAAAAAAAAAGTTCTTGCCAACATTCCTCAGCCTCAGCCTTATTTGATTTGCTAACCTGGCTCACTGTTTCCTGGCATTAAAGGGAGAGGTTTGGTTTGGTTTTGTTTTTGAAGCCAATTTGAAAACCCCCTGCCGACTTGGGTGACCGAGGCCCACGGGCCAGGCCAGGGTGAGTCAGTGAAGCACAACTGCAGAGAAAAGAGATTAGTTGTCCCCAAAGCGGCCTGGTTCAAGAGCAGTTGCTGGAGCGGAAAGGGGGCCCCCGGGGAGCAGGTGTCGCCGCCCCACTCATTCCATTTGCCGGACTCATGGACATTTGCTCCTGCCCTCAGGGACTGCGCGCTCCCCTGCACCCGGGCCGCGCGGCCTGCTCCGGCTGCGCGCGGTTGTAAGGCCAGCTCCGTCCCCGGCAAAGGGCAGGGTGCTTCTCCGGTAGGAGCAGCGTGACACTTCCTGCGAGTCAAGTGTGCGTGTGGCATGCGATCTGCACACGCGAGGCGTGAGATGGAAACATGCCACCATTAAGGTACGGGCAGCGGCGGGGCCCCACAGCCCTGACTCTAGGTCCAAGGCCAGGGTCCCCGCGTCAGCCCAGTCACAGCCCGCCCTCTGTCCACTGCCCCGGGGCCCCGGGGTCCCGGGAAACAAAGTCGGGGAGCTGGGCGATTGCCCTGAAAAACTCCAGGCGGTGCCCTCTACACGACCCTCCCGGACAGCGTCCCCGAGTCTTCCAAGTCCCCTAACCTCCCCCTCTGGCTGCCGGAGCCACGGCCCAGGGAGGGCGAGCGACACCAGGACGCCACACAAGGCACGTCAGGGTCCGGGCGGGAGTCGGAGCTCCGGGCCTCCACCGCCTTCCCACCCCCGGGGTGACGCTCGAAGGGTGGCCGGGGGCTCGGTGGGCGCTCTGCCCGCGGGGACCCCGATAGGGCGCGCGCGCGCGCGCACACACACACTCGCGCGCGCGCGGAAAGGGCTCGGGCCTCCGCCTGACACTGTCACCTGGGCAACGACCGGAGCACAGAAAGTACACAACCTCTCCCCCGCTTAGAGTGGGGGCGCCCTGCCTGCGGCGGGCGCTGCCCCCTGCGCCCCTACCCGTAGTCCGGCGCTCTCCCCGGCGCCCCGCGCCCTCCCCGGCGCCCCCGTCCCCGGCGTCCGGCCGCTTACCCGGTGGGGGGCTTGGCCGCCGTGGCGCACGGCGCGTCCATGGAGCCGGCGGGCCCGGCCGAGTCAGGCGCTCGCTGCGGCCGGCGTCCTCATTCACTTTTTCCGCGCTGACCCATCGTCCGCCCACGCGCGCCGGCGGAGGACAGCGGCAGCCTCCAGGCTGGGGCTGGAGGCGTCCGCGGAAGGCGGGGGCCGGGCCGCGCGGGGAGGGGCTGGGGAGCCAGGTGCGCTGCACCCCCACCCGCTGGCTCCGCCGCGCCCACCGAGCGCCGCCCCCGCCGCAGCGCCCCGCCCGGCTTGCTCCCGGGACCTCCGCCCCGGGGAGGGAGCGCGCGCCTTCGGGGCCGGCGGGGCCCGAGGCGCGGCTGCGAGGAGGCGGGGTGGAGCTGCGGGAGGGGAACCACCCGGCAGCGGCGCGGCCGGAGGAGGGCGAGGTGGGCGGACCCGCGGGGGAGGACCGAGGTTGCAGGAGGAGCGGTGAGTGGCCGGTGTCGCTGGACTCCCGGGACGACCCTGGGTCCCCACCGAACCTTCATGCACGCGACAGATACCTAGGGCAGAGGGCCTCGCAGTGGGTTGCTGCCCGGCAGCACCTGGGGGCCGTTTGGAAATGCAGAATCCCCCTCCCCGCCCCCCTCCAGGGAATCGGAAACAATGGGTCTGGAGCAGGAGCTCCTGTCGGCAGCGCACGAAAGTTTGCCAAGCCGGTCTGCCCGGCGCTGAGGTCGCACGGCCCCGCGGGGGCACCCGCTGCGGGCCCCCAGCCAGGGACCAGAGGGCCCGATCTGCCCCAACTTCGTCCTCACACTCCTCCTAACCCACCCAAAGCAACAAAGGAGACTTGGGTTAGTGAGCAAGTCTGACCCACAAAGGACAAGGAATCAAAGGCCGAGACGACGCAGGTTCGACTGAGCCTGCAGCGTGATCCGCGTGGGAAGAGGCGCCCCTCCTGGGACCCGTACTAGGAGAGGGCGCCGAGGCCTGCCGGAGCCCCGCCCGCCGGGCCGCGTTCCCGTCCACAGGGCGGCAGCGAGGCCAGGCTGCAGGCGGAGTGCAAAGTCCCTGCCGCCGCGCCAAAGGCCTTGGGCGCTAGGCGGGGCGCCCACCCAAACCGGATTCCTACCTGGGCGCCGGCCTTGAGGCGGGCCACCCTGCAGCTCAGCCTGCCTGCTGTTCTCCCGAGGGCGGCCACCTGGGCTGCGCTGGGGCTCTGCCTGCCGCCGCGCTGGCACCTGCGCTCTGTGCTCAGCCCTCAGCCTCCCGGGGCCTGGGGAGGAAGCCCAAGCTCCCCTGGGCCTGCTGTTTCTCTTCAAAGCACTTATCTCTCTGCGTGTGTATTTAAATAAAAACTGTTTATGTTTATAACCAACAGTTTATATGTATGTTTGTGTACACTTATGCACAAATAAATGCGTGTATACGTCGTGTATGGACTGATTACAAGTGTGTTAATAGCTGTCGTGTTCAGTGTACGTTTTGTCCCAGCGCGTCTTCAGGGTCTCATTCCGTTCACCTCGGCCCGGCACCTGGGCCGGCGAGGCCGTGGCTGCTCCGGAGAAGGGAGGCGTGGAGTGGATGAGTCTCCAGCCCTGCTTCGCCCACCTCTAGGACTGACACCAGGGGTCCTTGCAAGCTGCTCTGGAAGCTTCCTTGCTCTGGACACCGGGCACAGGTGCCGAAGGGCGCCTGGGAGGGGCCAGAGCCCAGCGCGGCGGGTCGGCCCACCCTGGCGGAGCCCGGAGAAAGTCAGGCCCAAGGGTCACAGGTAACCAGAGGGCGTTTCAGTGGTGCGACCACCCCCCCCCGCCCCCCGGCTGGCCCCAGCAGCCCACTGCCTGAGCGCCAGCCTCTGCCCCTCCTCCCCAGGGCCCGGCTTCGGTCCTCGTGCCAGCTGTCGGTGCTGGCCCTGCCCAGGACTCTGAACTGCGGTGCTGTCAGCTCTTGACCCGAGGAGCAACAGCTGTCACTGCTGCTGAGCACCAGAGTTGCTGGGCCCCTTTAGGGGCATTTTTTCCCTGCCCTCACCCCGTGCCCCTCCCTGGCCTCGTCTGTCCCGCTGCAGGCCGACCTGGGGCCGCGGCAGCCGGAGGCCTCCCTGCAGTCCGCGGGGAGCCTGGCCCGCCCAGGGTCCCTCTACCCGCCCGGGGACTGGAGGAACACGGAAGGGACACTGCACCCCAGGGACACCTTTGTCACAGCCGTGCTTCCAAGATCGTAATATGTCAAGACACTCCCGAGATCTCGTTGCAACGCAGCGTCGCCCCCGTGCATTCAGGGCCGGACCTGGGAGGCTGGGCTCCTAAAGGGCCACAGCCAGGCGAGCGGCTGACCGGGGGCCCGCCTGTGAGCCGCGGCGTTCGGGGCTGCTCGCGCACGACAGCTGCGGGCCTGGCCCTCGCCCGTGGGCAGAGTCACGGAGAGGCGTGCGCCTCTCTCCACGCTTCAGTTTCCCCTCCGAAGTGAGAATAACCAGGCACAGACCCTGGTTTTGCAGGGCAGCTTACATGACTTTAAGTGTGTAAAAAAATATTTTTAAGCATATCTGAAGATCCCTATATACATGCCAAAGTGGATAGTCACTTTGAATGTACTATGGACTGAATTGTGTCCCTGCCAAAACTCATAGGTTGAAGTCTCACCATCCCAATGGGACTGTATGTGGCGATAGGACCTTTGGAAGGTGATGAGGGTTCGGTGGGGTCCTAGGGCGGGGCCCTGATTCTTTAGGACTGGGGTCCTTGTAAGAGGAGGGAGAGGCAGTCTCAAGTTCGCTTCAGACAAGGCTTTCATAGTTTGTTTTTTTAAATATAGTAAGCTCTTTAAACAGGATGTATTTTATGTCACATCGTTAGCTGACAACGGTAACTCCAACGTTTAGGAAGAGCCCTTTATGTTTATTGAGATACAATTCACAAACCATCCATTCTCTGCTGTGAGTATGCACCCCAGGGGTGCGGAGATCCCCGGCTATACAGAGTTGCGCAGCCGCCCCCGCTCTCCGACTTCAGAACATTCTTACCCCTCCCCCAAAATGAACTTGACATCCATCAGCATTTCCTCCCTCCTCCCTCTTCCTCCTTCCAGGGACCCTGTGTGCTTGGCCGTTATGCAAACACAGTTGATTTCACCTGGGCCCAGCCCTCCCACGAGCCAAGCGACACAGAAGCAGAGAGACGCCAGTTGGCCAGCAAGCGTGTGCAGGGCTCGCTGCCGAGCCGCTGATGCAGAGAATGTGTAGGTCCAGCTCCCTGGGCTCTTTGTCACGAAGCTTTTATTTTAGTCACCAGCTGTCCCAGCTTCTCTCCTGGGAGGTCACAGGGAGAGCTGAGCTCTCCCGTGAGCACCTCCAGGGAAGCGCCCGGACCCTGCGCGGAGATGCCCCGCCTTGAACTCATGTGACGTGGACCTTCACCCTCCGCCCACGCACGGGTTGTGCAATGGCGTTTAGGGTTTCTTGCAGTGTTTTCTGGAAAGATGAGCCTCTCCTGAACAGACACCCACGGAGCTGTGACTGCAGAGGATCTCGGACCTGGGCCGATGTGTCTTCTGTCTCTGTCCACGAGTTTGCCTTTGGGAACGTGCTGGAGTTCTTTGAATCAGCCGGAGGTTCAGAACCTACCTGTCTACAAATGTGACTGTACCCTTCACACGGGTTCGATTTTCTTCAGTTCTGACGTCATTCCCCAAACCAGAGCTGGAGGGAGCAACGTCTCCCAGTCTCTCGTCCGGCCCCGCCTGTTCAAACTGCTGTCTCCTGTCCTGCAAGAGCGGCGGGGTCCAGCCAATGGAATGCGGTGACATTTCTAAATGGTTGACTTATGGTTTTGAAAATTGGTGGTTTGTTGTGACCATCCATGGCCTTCTACCCAGTGTGACAATTTCACCTTTTCACAGAGTTTGTGGGCTGCATTTTCCATGGAGGAGGGAAAGCGTGGCTCTCTATTCTTGTGGCCAGGCGCAGAGGGCTCTGCTCCATCCCGCAAGGGCGGCCCACAGGGTCCCGGAGCCCCTGACGTTCCTCGGGGGCCGAGACTCGAGGCAGGGACTCCCCCCTTGCTGCTGTAGCTGGGCGTTACTGCACTCCCAGCCTTATTAATATACACTTGACATGTGGTAAGTGTGCGGCGTACAACGTAATACCCCGACATGTATATTGCAAAATGATTACTGCATTTTGCCATATGCAATGCACACGTTTTTGCCCAAATTTTTGAGGGAAAGATAAGGGTGCACATTGTACATGGGCAGTACTAATTCCATATCTATATATGGAAATGTTTTCAATTCTTTTATTTATGCTCATGCGTTCAAAGTGTAACTTGAGAAAGCAATTGCAATACCCGCATGCAAAATAATTCCCTGAAATATGATCATTGGTTTTGTTTCTAAATATCAATAAAAAAAATTGAATTAAAAAATTAAAGTGAAAACAATTTTTTTCCCTGAAAGTTTGGGCCAAAACGTGGGTGTGCATTATACATGGCAAAATACGCTACCGTAGTAAGTGCACTCATGTGTCCAGTATCGCACATGGTCACCCTGTTTCTGTGTGTGGTGACAGCTTTTAAGACACGCTCTCTCGGTAATTTTCAAATATATAATACAGCATGGTCACCAGCCAGCATGCTATACATGCCACCGCCCAAACTTCTGTGTCTTGTACCTGGAAGCTCAGACCCTGGGACCACCCTCTTTCCATGGCTCCCACCCCCAGCTCCCTGGCGACCGCCAGTTGCTCTGTTTCCGTGCGTTTGTCTTCGTTCTTGATGCAACATAGAGAAGCGAGATCCTGCGGTGTTCCGCTGATGAAGTCACAGCTCCACGCCCTCCAGTTCCATCCCTGCTGCCACCAATGGCAAGATTTCTTCTTCCTTTGCTGTGGTGTCTCACGAGTTGACAGGGTGCTTGTTTACTTGTTATTTCCCATCATTCTAAGTCAAGAATATCTCCCCGTTTCCCATCCGCAGCATGGATTTTGCCACTCGCCTTTCTGGTGCGCCGTGCCAGCTTAAAATGGAATTATGTCAGGATGTGGCTCACAGGTGGCTCATCCAAAGGCCGCAGTCCGTGTTCCGTGGCTCGTGCGTGCACGCGGATTTCCTTCCTACTGGAGCAGCGGGGACACTGCGCAAGGCCGCTCCCTTGATCTCTCGTCTCTCCCTGACACACACGCGTTCTCCCGACGGAGGGACTGAGCGGGAGCGGAACCGTGGGCTGCCCTGCTTTTCTCTTTCCTTCGGCGTTACCGCTGTCCGCACACGTGGCTGCCCGAGACACGCCTGACCTGTCAGGTGTCCATTAGCGGGTGCTTCAGAAAGGAGGAAGAATCACAGCTTCCCAGCCGTCCATGGAGTCGCGGGTCT